GTAAAAAAAAAAAAAAAGGAGAAAAATCACAATATAAAAAAATAGCATATAAACCAAATATTTGATTTCATTTAGGAGTTGTAAATCAAAATCCAAATAAAAAATTAAAATTAAAAAGCATTCTGGGAAGAAATGGTAGAAAATGATGAAAAAAATTATAGGAATATATGTTTTGGATAAAATTTGAAGAAATGAGAAATCAATCGGGTTAGAAAACTCTAGAAATTTCAACTCTGTATCACTTCCAACCAGGGCTTCAATCCCACAAATTAGGATATTGATATGTTTGAGTGATCCTAAATCTTCATTTTTTAACCAAATTTCAAATAATTTGGTCGAGAATTGAGGGATAAATAGAAAGAAAGGCATAAAATTTCTTTAGGGTTCTTGTACATGAACGGAATTGGAACAAATTAGGACAAATTTGAAAGATTTTGACAAGGAAAATTGTTTAATGCGCGCTGGACTGCATTTGTACAATATGCGGTCAAGAGGTATAAAGCATCCATCTGAAAGATGGATGCAAATAGGTGGTCCATCTAAAAACCATTGTAACTAACAGTGTAAATGTTTTTTTAATATAAATATTATTTTTTGTTTTCAAAATGTTTCCCATATTCCTGAGCTCTTTATGTTAAAGATTATATATTCTCTAAAAATTAGAATCAAATTATATTTAAAAAATGCATTTATAGCCAAGCTCGCATTTCTACAATATACAAGCTGGCCGCATAAAAACCGTGTCCTTTTGACGAAAAAAGAAAAAAAGAGAGAAACTAATTTTTCTCCATATGGTTTGTAAAACAAAAACCTTAAAAATAGCCCTACGAGCGTGACTTTGGGCTGGCACAGCCCCGTCCCCACCAATTCCGAATCGAGCCGGCGATTTTTTTAATCATAAGAACTTGCAGTACATCTTGATTTATTTGTTAATAACCATTTTTCCCTTGTCCAATTTCTATGTGCATCCTCAGCACCGCTTTCTATCGTTTGGAAATGCATTTATACAATATTAATAAAAATTAAACAATAATTTGACAATTAAAAATAAGAGCGCATACAACAATGTCATGATAATCAGACAAATCCACCGGTACAAAACTACTACAACAATTTGAATTGATTGGAACCTCAGTTTAGGAAACAGATTGATTAATTTAAAAATATAGAATATATTAACAAGATATCAGCCTTATTGTATTAGTCTAACGAGTGAAAGATCAAAACAAAATCTGTTATTTTCAACCAAATTTTGTTTTCAACCAGACCCACCAAGCCGATCCATCTTGAAAATAATTGTTTGCGATCTAGCCAGACTTTTAACTTTGGTAGGGCTGGAACGGGCTGGACCAGCCATCGCCCTAGCCCCGTATTGCCCATAGGGCCAGCCCAGGTCCTTGGGCAAAATTGGATTGGCCCGAGTGTAGCCTAGCCCTCAGGCCGTGGCCCATCCCGACTCGGCCATCGTGCCACATTTTGGAAATGAAAAATGAAGGGTACCACATTTATATAAAAAATTTAAAATAGCAACTAAATAATTATTTGATAATTATAATAAGACTATACATAATCGGACAGGGTCACCAGTCAAAACTGGTTCCAAAAGCATTGGAATCTATTGGAACCTCAATTCAAGAAAAAAGATGATTTCAACTTAAAAATATAAAATATATCACACAAAATATTCAGTTTTTTTTGTCCTGGTCTATCGATCAAAAACCAAAACAAAATCGGTCAGGCACTTAGCCTTAAGCAGTTTTTAACCAAAATTTGGTTTAAACTGGTCTGGCCAAACACCGGTTGAGGACTCCAATCCATATTAAAAATAGTATGATTGGCAAAAAGCTAGACCTAGGGCATATAGAATTGAAGACCAAGCTATACCTAGGCCATATAGACCAAGGCCTAATAGTAAATGGCTGGCAAAAAGCTAGACCTAGGCCATATAGAATTGAAGACCAAGGCCATATAGGCCATATAGACCTAGGCCATATGGACCAAGCTCAGCCCTGTCCGGGCCAAAACAATCCTACGCTGTAGCCCAACAATGACAAGGCTGGGCAAGGCAAGGCCAGGCCATAGAATTTAAGGAAATAAATGAAACAAAAGAAAAAAGAAAAAAAGTTAGGCAAGGGTAAACCAAGCTAACCCTAGCCCTACCCTCTGGGTGATAATTTTTAAGATTATTTGAAAATCTATTTTTATATTTAATTATAAAATTTTAAATTAAAAAAATAGTTAAAATCAAGTAGATCTAGATAATGTGTTGCAAGATGCATTATTTCCTGGACTTGAAATCTTTTTTTTTTTCATATTCATACATCTTGATATTGCGATGATCAATTAGAGGGTTTTCAACATTAAAACAACTTTTTATGATGGATTTTTGATGTGCATCATTAATTTTACATTTTAAGGTTGCAATCTCATATAAACTTCTTCCTTTAAAAAATTATGATGCATTGAACTCAAAGAGTAAATCGCCTAGACAACGGTATTTAGCGGTATTTTAGTCAGTACCAGTGGAACCAACATATGTTTTGAATCCAAATCGAGTCGGGTTGCAGCCAATTGAGCCCTAGGTTAAGAATTTTAGGGTTTGGGCTAATCTTTTTTTCTTTTTTTTTAATTTTGGTTTGGGCTAACGTTCTTTTGTAAATAAAATTAAATATACTATAGCAAATGGCAAATTGAAACGCCTGCACACAAAATACTTTTAGCGAAGATCTGTCGAGTTGTCCGAGTCATGCATTGCACGAAAATTTCAGCCGTTCATATTGAGGCCGATTTCGCAGATTTGAAGAATCATTGTTACTTTTTGCTATATTTATCGCTTGCATTTAGTTCGAAAGACATTCTCTGAACTTGGACCTTTCCTTCTTTGTCTTCTTCCTCTATTTAAATGGTTTCTCCACTTCCTGCTCTTCGTCATCTTCATCGAGTAAAGAAACCAGTAAGGCTTTCAGCCATACGCCTTTTAGTGCTATTGTTTTACTATATCTCTAATGCTTCTGAATTTTCCATTGGGTTTGGATGCGATGTTCTGGTTTTGGAAATCGTTATAGCTAGGGTTTTAACGGTCCTTTCTGGTGACTGTAGCTTTTGGTTGTGGTTCTGTATCCATTTGAGTTTCAAAAAGTGAAAAGTGGAAATCTCCATTTGGATGGAGTTTAGGGGGATGAGAATAGGTTTGTGGGGTTTATGGTTATGGGTTTCTCTTGTGGGACTGTTATTGGCCTGAGTCAATGAGAGTGATCGCCATTTCTTGGCAGTTAGACAGAAAAGCTTTTTCAACAGTAAGAAAAACTACAACACAAAATTATTACGTTTTTAGTTTTTGCCTGAGACTGTAGTCTTCCATTTTCTGTCATTTTTATGATCGTCATGTTTTTTTGAAATTTTAATTCCAGCTACAATTATTAGTTTTTTCACTTGGGAGCTTTTTTCCATCAGTTCAGAAAGGAGACAACCCCGAGGACTTTTCGTGTTTTGAGGTTTGTTTCAGACTCTAGAACTCTCACTTTCATTACTTTTCAGTATCTTTGTTAATTAAGTAGTGTTTCATTTGTGGGGATATCTCCACTTGAGTGGAGTTCAAGGGGAAAAGGGTGGTGTTTTTATTTTTTAAATTTTTAAATTTTTATAACAGAGAAAATACAAAGATTTTATGGTTTTTAGTGTTTAGCCTGTGTAGTCTTTCACTTTCAAACTTTTTTTGGACGCCATTTTTGGTGAAATTCAGATTGGTGTTGCATGCAGTTCATGGTTTTGCACCAATAAAGGAGAAGGTGGCTTTTTTCTCTCATTTAAGAGATAACTTAAGATTCTTTAGGGTTTTGAGCTTTAGCCTGAGACTCTGGAATTCCATTTCCAGTATCGTCTCTGAGCCCCATTTTGCTCAAATATGAATAAGGTGCACATCTAAATTTTGTCATAACGTCTAAATTTGGTGTAAGAAATTATTAAGATTATTTAAAAATCTATTTTCAAAATTTTAAGCTAAAAAAATAGTTAAAATCAAGTAGATTAATAAACATACGAAAATCTTAAAAATGGATAGCCTAGTTAATGTGTTGTAAGATGCACTATTTTCAAGACTCAAAATATTTTTTTTTTGCTATATTCATATGTCGAGATGATCAACTAAAAGGCTTTTCAACATTAAAACAACCTTTTTCAATAGATTTTAAGGTCCATATTTCTATAATTTAAGGTTGCAACCTTATATATATATTTTTTCAATGAAAAACAAAAAAAACCGCATTTATATAATATTAATAAAAATTAAACAATAATTTGACAATTAAAAATAAGAGCGTATACAACAAGGTCATGATAACCAGACAGGTCCACCAGTACAAAACTACTGAATTGATTTGGAACCTCAGTTTAGGAAACAGATGTTTAATTTAAAAATATAAAATCTGTTAACAAGATATCAGCCTCATTGTATTAGTCTAACGAGTCAAAGATCAAAACAAAATCGGTTATCTTCAACCTGTTTTGAACAAAGCCGATCCATCTTGAAAATAATTATTTACAATCTAGCAAGACTTGTGACTTTGGTAGGGTTGGCCATCGCCCTTGCCCCGTATTGCCCATAGGCCCAGCTCAGGTCTGGACTAAGCTTTGGCCTGAATTGGCCCAAGTGTGACCTAGTCCTCAGGCGGTGGCCCATTTCGACTTGGCCATTGCGCTACCTTTTCTGCCCCAGCCTTAGTTTTTTGTTTTTTTTGTTTTTTTTTTTTTATAATTTACGCTAGGTCAATTATTGCTACACCTGTTATCTATACTTTCACTTGTAATAATACCATACACAATACCCTTTTTTGCCACTCGTTATGGTGGAATTTTCTAAATGTCACAAGGCAAGAAGTAGCAACATGAGTATGGAAAAGGAGTATGTAAGAGGGCAAATATGTCCAGAAAAAAATAAAAAAAAAACCGTACCCTTTTTAAAATTTCAAAAATTATGAACGCATTGTATTTAGCGGCATTTTTAGTCAGTTCCAGTGAACGAAATACGTTTCGCGCCTATCGCATCGAGTCCGGTGGCAATGATCGAGTTCCAGATAAAAAAATATTAGGGTTTGGGGTTAACTTTTACCGTGCCTAAAATAAATACAGGATAGCAAGTGGCAAATTGAAACGCCTATTCGCCTAAAGCCCTAAAACACAGAATTTCAGACCAAAAAAGTGCCGAGTTGTCCGAGTCTCGAATCGACTCGTAAATTGAAATTGTACTTATGGGGTCCGACTTCGCGGGGTTGTGAGAATCAGAATTTGCCAATTTTTACCTGGTGCATTTAGTTCGAATTCGGAAGTTGGACGCTCCCTCTGTGTCTTCTTCTTCTTCTTCTTCTACCTAAATGGTTTCTCCATTTTCTCTTCTTCTTCATCATCATCTTCTTCGTGGTTATCTTCATCGAGTAAGAAACCGGTAAGTATCTTATCATTTCTCGGTTTAATGCTTTTGGTTTCCATTTCAACAGTCCAAACTTTTTATACTTGAATTTTCAATGGATTTGGATATGGTGTTTTGGTGCTGGAATAGGGAGATGAATTAGGGTTTTTTGGTTACAGGGGGTTTAAAAAGTGTTATAGCTAGGGTTTTAAAGTATGGTCTTTTTTTTCTGGTGATTGTGGAGTTGGGTTGTGGTTCTGTATTCGTTTGAGTTTCAGAAAGTGAAACGAGGAAATATTTATTTTAGTGGAGTTTAAGGGGGGAAGAGAACAGGTTTTTGGGGTTTTTATTGTGGGTTTCTATTATAGTACGGTATTGGCCTGAGCCAAGGAGATTGATCGCCATTTTCTTGGCGGTTCAAGAGAAGTTAGCTTTATTTCTGCAGTCAGAAAAAAGACAACACAGAATTTTTGGGTTTTGAGTTTTAGCATGACTGTCGCCTTCCATTTTCAGTTAAGTTTATGATGGCGATATCTTTGGAAATTTGAATTTGAGTTACAATTATTGGGTTTTTAATTTATTCAAGGACAGGGAGCTTTTTTCCATCAGTTCAGATTAGAGATTTTAGTGTTTTGGGGTTTGTCTCAGACTCTAGAACTCCATTTTCTGTATTGTTCTGTATCCTTGTGTAACAGTGTTTCATTTGCTGGTGGGAATATCTTTAAAGGGGAAGGGGTGGTTTTACTTTTATCTTTATTTGAGGTTCTTCTGTTACTCTAGTCATGGATCAAAAAGGTAGAACGTCATTTCTAGACAATTCACAAAAAAGGTTGCATTTTTCATCTTTTAAGAACAGAGACAATACAAAGAGGTGGCTTTTTTTTTTTTGAGTTTTTACCCTCAGAATGTAGTATATCATTATCAATCGTTTTTTTTTGGATGCCATTTTTGCTAAAATTCAGATTGGAATTACAGTTCATGGTTTTGCAGCCAAAAAAAGAGGTGGCTTTTTTTTTTCAGTTAATAAAAGAGATAGCCTAAGGCTCTTTTAGGGTTTTGAGGTTTAGCCTGAGACTCTGGAATTCCTTTTCCAGTATTGTTTTTGAAGCCCATTTTTCTTTCAATATGGACAAAGTTCTTGGGTTTTTAGGCTTACTCTTGTAACCTTGTTCTTGCATGCATATTCTATGTGAGATTTCTAAGTCCTCAGATAACTGATCCTGGTAACTTTTGTTTTCTTTTCTTTTTTCTCTTTTTCCTCCAGAAAGCTCCGTTTATACCTTCTTTCGAGTTTTAGCTCCTGAGATTTATTCGTCCATGGAGTGCAACAAAGAAGAGGCTCTTCGAGCGAGAAATATTGCCAGAAAAAAGATTGAGAACGAAGACTATGAGGGTGCGAAGAAGATGCTTATTAAAGCAAGAAAGCTCTTTCCTGACGTCGAAGACATAGAGCAGCTGATCGAAATATGCAACATTTTTTTGGCATCTAAGATTAAAACCCCGAGCTCAGATATTGATTGGTATGCAATTCTCCAACTCCCATATAATGCAGATCAGGATTCAATCGAATCGCAGTACGAAAGGTTTGCGATTCTCTTGGCTCCTGATAAGGACCGGTATCCTCGAGCTGAGCCAGCCTTACAGCTGTTGGATGAGGCCTTTGCAGTGCTTTCTGATAGGGAGAGAAGGTTTGCATACGACTTGAGGAATCTGATCCGAAATGATTCCCTAGCTGAACAACAAAGGGGTTCATTGAGTGGTCATGATGATTCTCACGATTGGGGAAGGGAGGGAAACACAAAGCAGAAGAGGAAGGTTAATGAGACCCCTAATGGGCCTGCCTTTGTGCTGGGGTTACCAATCCCATCTCAGAAGAAGTCAAAAATCTCTTCAGCCAATGGAGGAACAGTGGTCAAGAGCCATGTTCCTAAAATTGAGCTGGAAGAGAGAGAAGCCCATGGAACTGCTAGAGAGAGTGGTTCAAGTCTCCATGGACTCAAAGAACTGCCTGATGCTTCTCAGGATGATGGCCTACAAAGGCAGGCTTACACCCACGGGGTAAACCAGATGGGGGTTCCATCATTGTCATGGGATCCCAGTAAAGGAGAGGCAGCTAATGCTTGTGTCGGTGCTGAAATTGCCTCTACCTCCTCCCAACATGAGCACAATGACCCAGAGGTTGACTTCTTCGGTTTTGAGAAGAATCGGAGTATTGGTCTTTTCGCTAAGGACCAAGTTTGGGCCACTTATGATGAACATGGCATGCCTCGATGCTATGCTCGTATAGATCAGGTGCTCTCATCGAACTTCAAGCTGCGTGTTGCATGGTTGGAACCAAGTTTCTTGCCTGGTTGGGACATGAGATGGAAGTACAAATCAGTGGGTTTTCCAGATGGTTGTGGGATCTTCAGGATTGGCAAAAAAGCTGTGGTTGATAATCACTACATATTCTCTCACATCCTTTTTTCTTGTGAGAAGAATGAGCAGTCCAGAACTTATAATGTTTACCCCAGGAAAGGCGATGTTTGGGCTATTTACAAAGATTGGAATGTTACCAAGCAATATCATTATCTAGGTAGTCCAAGGAGACATGTATTCCAAATTGTAGAGATCCTTGAGGACTATGACCATGCCCTTGGCTCTAGGGTTGCATACCTGATTAAGGTAGAAGGATTCAGAAGCCTCTTTCGAAGGCACACCAGTGATGGGGTGGATGTTGTGATTCAGATTCCTCCAACTGAGCTCCCGAGGATTTCCCATCAAATTCCTGCTTTTAAAACCTCAGGGGATGGAAATGGGTCCACCCCTGAGGAATGTCTAGAGCTTGATTCTTGTTCGCTGCCTCCTGTTATTGATGATTTCACTAACAGGGTGGACCCAAATACTAATTTTTGTCTGTACACTAAATTTCTTGATGTAAAGGGCTATGGGTGGCGCGATGATTTTGGGCCTGATCAATTATGGGCTGCCTATGATGACTATGATGGGATGCCTCGATACTATGCACGTGTTAACAGAAAGCTCAGTTCTGATTTCACAGTGTGTGTCACTTGGCTTGAACCCGACCCCATCTCTGAGGAAGAGAAGAGATGGTATAGGGCAGGCCTCCCTGTAGCCTGTGGGAATTTCAGGCTAAAGAAAAGCACAATTACTCGACAACATCTGATGTTTTCTCATCAACTTACATGGCAACTTGGGATTTCAGGTGTGCACTTCACTATCTACCCAAAAATTGGGGATGTATGGGCAGTATATAAATACTGGCATATCAGGTGGAGCTCCGGTTTGTGGAGGCCCAAAGAGTTTGAATATGATATGGTCGAGGTGCTCACAAATTACAGTAGGGATAGGGGTGTGAAGGTGGTGCGCTTGGTCAAGGTGGAAGGGCACAAGGGGGTCTTTCAGAGACAGAAAGATGATGGGGTAGAGGCCTCGTTCCACATCATGGGAAATGAGCTCCTCAAGTTCTCTCACCAAGTCCCTGCTTTCAAGATCAGAAGGGGGTTGGCGAGTGCCTTACCAGAGGGGTCAATGGTGTTGGACCCTCTGTCGATTCCCAATTGTGTAATCAATGAATTGGATCCCTCTTCTCTAGAGAAAATAAAGGAGATGTGTGAAGAAGGTGGGGCAGGAATTCAGACAAAGGGAGTAACAGATATGAGGGGAGTTCAAACGAGTGATAAAATTGAGAACGATAGAGTTCAAAGAGAGAGAGAAGAGGTGAACAGAGTAGTTGGTTTCTTAGCGAATCCATTGCCTCCACCGAGCCCCTCATTAGATATATATGATCACCTAAATTCAGAGTTCCATGACTTCAAGTCCATCCGACTGCTGGACAACTTCTCATTGGACCAAGTTTGGGCGATATATGATGGGAGTGATAGAATGCCTCGGTCCTATGCTCGGGTAAAGGAAATCATCCCTGTCGACCTTAAGGTGCAAGTGACCCAATTAAAGCCCCACCCCACTCTAGAAGATGAAATGGTGTGGGTTGAAGAGAGCTTGCCCATGGCATGTGGGATTTTTAGAGAGGGTAAATCTGTGGTCACCAAAAGTGTATTGGATTTCTCACATCTTGTCTCGTGTGATTGGAGTAGCCCAAAGTCTTTCTTCAAAATTCTTCCAAAGAAGGGGGAAGTATGGGCTCTATACAAAAGGTGGAATCTTGGTTGGAAGCATATTGACCTGGAGAACAGTGACTATCAGATGGTAGAAATCCTCTCTGATTTCACTGAGAAATCAAGCATGGCAGTTGCTTGCTTGATTGAAGTAGAGGGCTTCAGATCAATTTTCCAACGGCATGTGCACGAAGGCTTTGAGTTAGTTCGAAAATTATCAAGAAATGAGCTGATGTGCTTTTCCCATCAGGTTCCTGCTTTTAGAGTGAAAGGGGAGGAGAGAGAGGGCATCCCAGAAGGCTGTTTGGAGCTTGATCCTGCTTCAATGCCTGTCCATGGGATTATTAGTTATGATGTTAGGTAAATTATTACTAATTCATGTTTTTGTATTTTTACTGATAATTCAGTCATCTTCTATTTATGTTCTTCATATTTGAACAAGCTCCTTAAGCTTGAGGATAAAATTGGAGGCTGAGTTTTCTGATGTACTGTGATGATTATTGAATAAGTAGAGCTTTGGGTCCTTGTAATATCTCCAAGGCTGGAGAACCAAGTTGTTGTAACTGTTATAGGCAGCAGCAGTCGTTGTAATCAAATGGCAGAGGCAATTCTTTCTTGGCATAATTATGTCTTATTTATGAAATTTTTTTTTTTTTTTTGGTATAATGTTAACCTGTCTTATTTATGATTCTGCTACCGGAAAATCTCTAGATTCCTTACATTGTTCTGGGTTTGTGTTTTTTTATCTTTTCTCTCATCCTCTGTTTGAAAATTTATTCAATTTCTGAGCACGATGGTGTATTTGAATACGTCAAATTGGTTTTCCTTAAACATCTATCTGCACAATTTTAAGTGGCCAGACTTTAACAATTGAGAGGTTTTTACGCTTTTAAAACATACATGAGATTGGTTTTCCTTAAGCATCCATCTGCACAATTTTAAGTGGCCAGACTTTAATAATTGATGAGGTTCTTACGATTTTACTCCTCACTCTTCCCTCCTAAATTCTTTTATGTTTTATATACGAGTCTTTTATGTTTTATAGTTTTATTATAATTACTTGGAATTGTTAGTGGTCTATTGATTAAGATAGAAACTATAGATCATTCTGGATTATAATTATTAAATCATGGATTTAGTGTAGTACATTGATAATAGGAGTAAATAATATGATCACAGTCATATGATCATGGAAATTCCTTTATACGAGCATAGGAGTAAGTCATATGATCATGGAAATTCCTTTATCCGAGCATAGGAGTAAGTCATATGATCACGGTCATTGTATATTAGCCCGTATTTGGCCCAAAGAGAAGTTCACTAGTAGGATGTTCTTGAAATAATGAAATTCTGAATTAAGGTGTTCATATATATCGGTACGTGGGATTGGAGGAGGCATGAATGCTCCTAAGAAGGCATCTGCTTCTCTGTTATGAAGTCCATTTCTATGATCAATTTCCTTGACCTGGCTCCTCAATTTTACCCCTTTCTCTTCAAGTATTCAATTTAACTTTCTCATTGTATTGAATTTATCCCATATGTTCCCGACCTTTGGTTGAAACTCCTACCCCACCTTCTTTAAAACCCCTTGAAAGATCCATTTAATCGATGACACCATTCGAATCAACGAAGAGTCCAGCTTCATTGACCCCTTTGACATGGCACTAGCCACTGATATTGAAAGAAGGAATCTAGTGAGAGAACCTAAAGGGCTTGTTCCTCATAATATGAAAAGAAGCCTTTAACCTATCATCCTTTTGCCTCTGAAACACGCCCTTGTACCTATCCACCTTGATCAAACGCCTGCTTATGTTGGACTATAGCTTTTCTTTTCAATAACACGTCCTTATCAACATTCATGTAGCGTTATTGTTGCTGAAAAAAGTTGGGTTGGGCACCGATCCAGTTTAAACTGGCCAGTCTATCAAATCAGATTGTTTCTGTCTTATAGTTCACTTCCATTGAGTATTTGTTTTACCTCAATGGATTTCACAAAGGACGAGGCTGATTTGAACTGATCTTTCTCTTCTCCTTTTTACCCAAATGATAGAGATCGGTTTTGACCTACCAAGAACAAGATTGAAGAAAAAGTTTGCTTTCCAATTGATCCATGAGCTTGATCGCAGCACGTTAAAATTGCAGATTCGGATTTGGAATTTTGGATCCTATTTTTGGATTCTTTCTTGTGAGCGATGTAACTTGGACAACCATCTTGTCCCATAATTAAAGAAGCACCTGGTGGTATCTATACACCAGAGGTGATAATACAAGCATGGACACATTCTACACATCCACACAGTAGATGCATGCGGCCCATGAGATATAGAAAAGCCAGTGATGAAAAGAGAATGGTATATGAATAGGGCCGATGTTTTGTTCTGATGGATTCTATTTTCGTATCGCCCACAAATGACTAGAAAAAAATGAAAAATGTACAGGAGAGAGAGGCATGGGATTTGTAGGAGAGAGACGATTGGGAGTGAGGTAGAAACGGGGATGATCTTTTTCTAAAAAAATGAGGTAGAAACGGGGATGACGGGAAAATATCCACCCCAGTTTGAGGTTCCATCGTTGGATATGCCCCATTTCGAGGGAAGAAAACCTTGGAAATTAGTTTTCAAGGGACCCAAATGGATCCGGGATGAGCCCATTGGACTATGGGTTTCCCTAGTCCATACGATCCTAGCATGATTAGATTGATGAATAATACACAACTCATTTGTTTGACAAAGACGACTAAATCCTCATGAGGTAACCAGAAAAATGATTGATAAGTGAGCTGCCTATTCCTTCACATGCCTTGCAGGAGTTGCATTTTTACCAGATTGAGGAATTGGGGATTGTTAATAACCAGTTAATGACAACATGTGTTGCATGGGATTAAACATATTTTTATATTTGATTTAAATAAGAAATGATATTTTTATTTAGATTTTGAGTAATTTAATATTATTTTTATACCTATCATATTACTGAGTCTAAGTTTTATTCAGTTTCTTAAGCTTAATTTTACTCCCCAGATTCCAAATGTTTTTTATATATTTAAATAAATAGTTGAATGGATATTATGCTCAGTAAAATTCGTAGGTACTTGCTTTTCCTACTTTCGTGGGAATTTTTTATATTAACTTGATGGACATTGTATGAGCTTTTTTCTTTTTTTTGAAACTGAATGGAGCCCATTTAATTTCTTAACCTATAGAATCTTTCTGAAGTTTTTATTTTTTTAATTTTTAGATTCTTTTCCTAGTTATTCTCTTTAATTTACATTTATTACAGAAACGTGTTTCGATAACAAATCAGAGAGACTTGTAAGGGGAGGTTAGTATTACCTTTTTTTTAGGAAATTACACAACAAATGACAATGAATTTCAAGGAGACATGTTTTAGAAAACTACTTATTATTGCTTCTTTACCTACTATCTAGATTTATAGTTGTTTTGATGGGAACTGTTATTTTGTTAAGGATTTCTATTTTAATTTCCGTAGGAATTCTAATGTTGGCTATTTCATGTATCTTATTTTACCTCGGATGGAGCTATACCATTCCTATTTCTGCATAAACGCTGTTTCCTATTTTTATTTTTCGGTTATAATTGCTATTAGTAAAAAAATGAGTTTGGAAATTTTGAAAGAAAAGAAATCATTGAGAGAATTCAAATCCAGAGATTTTGTTAATACGAGGGAGAGAAAGATCCAGATTCAAAATCATATGAATTCATCCCCCAACATGGAGTTGCCAAAACATTTGACTCTTTACTCATTGCAAGTATAAAGGATTAGTAAATCAAATAATAAATGGTAAATAGCTTGGTTTGAAAATTTCCTTAGGATTTAGCCTGCCAAAGCTGGTTAGCTTAACCATAATCACCATGTCTTCTCCATCCAAAGCTATATGAAAACAAATGGCTTTGAAAAGGAGGTGCACCAATGTTGCCACCTCTAAGACTAATGTCTTCGGATCCTCAGTCTCCTAATGGTTATCTTGTATTTTGGATCGACTTCTTTGTGGTTTCGAATGATATAAAATCAAGGGTGAGGTTTACATAAGATGTGCACCTTAAGCAGTCAAACTAAGGCGTACTTTTATACTCTATTGAAAGATGTAATTTTTTGTATTGGAACCTTCATGACGACCTATATTTCCATCCTTAATTATAAAATTTTATGTGCTGAAATGGTGCAGATTAAACAAATCTATAAACGACTATAAATTTTAAAAATAGATGGTCTAAATAACTTACGAATCATTTTAAGATTTGAGATCCATTTTTTCTTTCATATTAGACACATCAAGGTCGATATAATCAACTTGAGGGTTTTTCCAACATTGAAACAACCTTCTATAGTTGGCTTTTGAGATGCACCTTACTTTTAATATATAAGGTTCACATTTTATAAAAACTTTTCCCATAATTCAATAGTATAATATGCGTTTACTCCAAAGATCTACAAGCCATTCCCCCCGCTGTATCGTGGAGAGTAGCGATAACAGGCATCAAAAGCTATTAACCCATTGATTTATGGCAAGGTTCTAAAAATTGCCGAGACAATTTCAAACCAGTGGCCTGCGGCCTGCGATTCTGTTTTGAACTTTTTTCATTTTCTATTGTAATTATAAATTGATCAAACTCTTAATCACCTGAGTTGGATCACAAATCGTCCTGACTAATCCGATTTTTAGAACCGACTTACAAAATGGTATCCTTGAAGTTGTTTGATGATAAAATGGAGGGAAAAGTTTATATAGAGCTGAGGCATCAAGATGCATGGACATTAAAAAAAAAAAATTGAGAAAAAATTTTCACTAAAAAAAATTGTTTTGATGCCCAAATATCTTCAAATCGATCATCACATCTCATGGACACAAGAAAAAAATAGTTTTCAAGTTTGGAAATAATGTATTTTGTAACACATTTTAGACTGTCAATTTTCAAAATTTTCATAGATATGTTGATCTACACTAATTTTAAAGCTTTAAACTTTATAAATAAACATAAAAATACATTTTAAAGCTGTTGCAAAGGTTTCCAATATTAAAACCACATTTCTAGATATTATTTGAAAGTAGGCTCCAATTTGATTCTTTAGAGCCTAGGCTATGACATTTCTCGTACACTTCAAATTACTTGCATTATTATGCCCAAGCTATTTTCCATTTTTTATATACGACGCGCAGGACCTAAACAGTAGCATATGTCTTGACCCATGCAGGATTTGCTGTAAACAAATCGGGACATGCTCAGGTCGACCAGGCACATTGCCATATATGAAACGTAACCTGCATTGCTTCAAATCAACCTCACTGTGACAACTCTTGGTGTCTAGCAGTTGGATCCGAACTAAAGACTTTGTCCGGAATCCGGATCAACCCTGTGGACTGCAGCCTAAGTTGACCAAATAGCACTTTTTATGTTTTAAAACATCCCAAATCAGGTACAACTCGGTTAATGCACCCTTAATATAGGCTTATACCTGACCCGGACTCGACTTGGACCAGAATGGTCAAGACCTCGACCAGGACCATACCCACGAGTCTGATGGCTTCATGCACCAGGACCCAGGCTAGGTTGACTTGTCAAGTCTTCAGGTCTACCAATGACAAACAAAGGATTTGTTTAATATAAGCCATCAGCAAAATTAGTACACAAAAATACTAATATAAGCCATCATCTAGAGATCTAGTGCCATTTCCTTTCTAGTTTTACATATCTTTGTACTCGGGCTATTTCTCATCCTGTACAAGGAGGGACGATGACAAAAACAAAGGAAAGACAATCAACCAATGTTTCAAACAATTGGAATCAGGTCCCAACCCTCCAACTAACATGATTCCTTATTCCCAAGCTAGATCTCTATATTCAATAAAGAAATCAAAAGCATAAGCTAAAAATAGGCAAATCAGGCGATTCCAAGGTTCTAGGAACCAGAATCTTGTATTGACAATGCCGATCTTGTGTGTTCCTAGTCAGATCGGTAATCTTATTTGTCAAAAAAATAATAAGTCGGATCGGCAATCTTCCATACCCTGCATTCAAGAATATAAACAAATTCCATGCATGCAAGCCCACCATGGCTTTTCATGTTATGCATGTTTTCTACTTGGAAAATGTTGATAAAAACAATGCCTGCATTACCGATGTCGGCAAGACCCTTATATCCAACCCATTTGATCGTATCCCTTATCAAGATAGGTAACAGATTCAGCTGGCATAAAGATGAGGATCCCTTGTCCATCTCGGACAAAGGGAAGATGGTTGGAAGGATCTTGCCCCTGTATGTGTATCTGTTACATGCACTACTCAACAACCCATGAGACAGATAGAAGCACCATAGATTATAGTAAATTTCTAGATCAGGAGAAAGGAAACCTGATCTGCAAAATCTCAACCCAAAATGATGGACAACAACTAATGTAACAAAGGATCGAGTGTATCAAATCTCAATCTAAAATTATAAAGAAAAACAGGCAATTGGTGATGCATGTATATAAACACCAAACCACACATCATATCCACCTTCCTCTACAATAAACAGTTAATATGAATATTCCACCGAAGCACAAAACAGGCATGGTTGAGGTGAAATGCAGTTTACTGTTCATAAACTGCAATGCACCGTGGCATATTTTTTCTAAACAAAATAAGACGCCAAAGAGAACCCAAACCTGATTGGATATGAAGAATCCGGCAAGAGCATCCATGTTGACTATCGTTTCCATCAAAATTATCCAGCAGCAAAGATAACTCAACAAAATACCGCCCAGTCATCCACAAGATAGAGAAAATTGGGACGCAGATGGAGAGGGGAAGGGGATCGAGTATACACATCCAAGAGTTTTACATTGTCCATAACATAGCGCAAAGTGCCCATTTATAGAGAAACCCATTTAGAATCCTTTGAAATTATTAAGAAACTTTCTCGAAAGTTCTTTTATCTTTTTTAGGTAGGCGTTCGGCGTGATTTGAACCTTTGCTTTTTTGGGTAGGTTATCGACGTGGATTCAACCTTGGACGTTGTGTAGCCGCCCTTTTAACGCCCTGGCCACCGAGCCAAAGTGCAAATCCGGAAAACTTCGTAAAGCTTATCCCTAATTGTAATAATGTTTGCTAATATACAGTTGGCATGCAATGGATTTAAAAAATTGTAAGCAGACTCGACAGTAAGGTATCGAAAAAGGTAAAGTCAATTAATTACGAAATCTTAACCTATTAATCACAGAATCAAATTGTTAATGGTCGACAGCAATTTTAGAGAAATAATTTAAAACAACAGGGTATTTCCGGCAAGACAATCTAACGGACAACGTAAATTCTGCATTTCGCATCTTGTATACAAAGATGCCTATAATAATATTAGTTACCATACTGTTCAATATGGTAACAGTGACTTTGTCCATTCAATACCAACAGGGACAGCTGATGTGACTATTCTTTGGTCAATATTGCTTGAACAGCAAAGTAGTTAAAAATCAGTTGTCCATCGACAACAAATGGCTCATGTTACAGTCACTGTATTGGAGTATGGTAAATGGAATCATATTGTGCCGGTAGCAGCTTTTGTTTCAACTTTCAATTTCAAATGGAGTAACTAAGCTTCAGGTTTTCAAATTAATCTGCATTTCCATTCTAGACACAATTTTGAAGAGCTTGAATTTGCTCGTGTCTATGCTTTCTCTACCCCTAAAAATAAATCGAGGGCTTTATCATCTCTTTCCACAGTTTCAGAATCCACTAGAACACCAGAAAAGTTAAAATTGTGGCCCTCTGGAATACACAAAAAAAAAAAAACTAAAATGCCATTTATATGCCATGGCTATCACTCAACAGCTAGAACACTTCAACTTACAGCGATCATAGCATTCAGCATCCATGCAATGAGCGTGAGAGAGATAAATCAGTAGCGACGATCACCAGCAGTAGAGAGAAGCACCCGTGTTTGCTTCTTTCCCTTCTTTCTTAGGGCATTTACCTTTGGGACTTCTAAGGTTGCGGGTTTGGCAGATGATGCTATAATACCAGCAAAGGACTGCATTGTGGTGTTCCCAGAGCCTGCATATGAAGAAAATGGCACATCCAGTACCTGAATTAGTAATGTAAAAGAGCTGAAATTACATCATAAATAATTATTTTGGTATAGATGCAAGGTTACATCCACTGTCTATTCCCATTGATGGATGTTATTCAATGGGGCCCATACTCGTCCAGACCAACGAAGGAAACCATAATAATTTCAGCCAAAATGCTATTGAAGTTAAAATTTAGGGTGAATTGTTTTTGCATAACTGCATTGTATCCTAGACATTGCAAATTTGATATCTTTAAAGGAAAAACTACTGACAATCCCATAGACCGTTGTCAGTTAAATGTATGGACATTGATAAATAGTGAAATGAACTGCACCATTGAGATCATGCCATATTATGATGGCCCCAGTTTCTCATAACTGCCCTTCCATTAACTGGCCCACAATGACACAACAAACTTTTCCAAAGTCCATGTAATTCTTTATCTTAAACTAAAAAGCTATAGAAAGCATCACCAAATTAAGTACCAAAACAGTTTACACCTACCAGTTTGGGTGGACAAATTGTCCTCGGTGTGATTCGTAGACACGCCGCTCGAGTCACCAAGTCTCAGAGATGGAGAATCATGCCCAGAAGCAAAACCAAACCTTGCTACTTGGGAGAACAATTTCCTTCCACCAACAACAGGAGGACTTGTGGATAATGCTGCTGAGCTCCCCAAAGCTGGAGAGAGTTTTAATGCAACAGAACAAGTCATGTTAATAACTATACGTTACTAGCATGAGCAATCTAGTATCTTAGAAATAGTTTTTGTCATGATGCTAGGTACCCTTAAAACTGCTATATAAGAAAGAAAATTTAATGCAATACCTTCAAAATCATCCATAGAGAATGTTGTTTCGTTGTAACTTGAATGTTGGAAATGAGATGTTACGGGCACAGCTTCAGCGGCCTTCGCCCTGGCCTGCTTTTCAAGCTTTTTGAGTAGGCAAAATAAAGGAGACAAGAAAATGGATACCATATTAGTTGTCGAAACTTGAAACCTATAAAGCATTAGTGTCCATGAAACAAGAACAGGTATCATGAAAGAAGTATGACAAACAAGAGACGTACCCTCACATTCTCAAATTCTTTTCTCAATGTGCATTGGCCATTGAAATATCGTATGAAAAAAGTCATTACAGAATTAGGAACACTCTAAGGAGAGTTCCCTCGCAGAATATATGTCATCACATACCCAGAAAGTAGCATGAATAAATGCAAATGACAAAATGAGGCAAACAAAATACTCAAAAAGGTATGGAACTAATTATAAAAAATAAGGAGTTCGCAATTCATGAAGGATATGGCATGCACTACCAATTAGACCAGATGCTAAAAGTCGGATGTCTCAAAAGCTCATTGGAATATGATTTCTCTCGATCACATCATGCCCCAAGACCCAAGTTACTCACTCTCATCCACCAGAGAATCAATGGAAACAAGGATATGTAGGAGATTCGACTTCACATCCACAAAGAGAATAAGAAACCAAAAAACTATACCTGCTTAGCCTGACGTTTCCGTTGATTTTCTCGCGTCTTGATTTCATCCATAAATGGTGTAAAAGCATCAGGAGGTAATATACTGTGCAAATTGATTTCACACAGCTGCAGACAAAAGGTTGAAGAACAAGTAAGATTGAGTTTTCCCCTGCCCACCTTCCCAACCATCAAACCATGGAGAAATAAGAGAAAGGTTGGAAGTAAAAAGTAAAAACAACAAACCTGAAATGTAGTCGTCAAAGATAAATGGCTTAAGAAACGAAAGCGCCTTCTCATAACTTCTGATAGCGTCACTGTTTCCAGTTCTAAAATTTTTCCACTAATTCTGCAACCAATTTGGAACATAATTTGTTCAGAAACATGAAATATATAACATGTACAATTGGAGAAATCCCCAACAGAATTCTCAAATTAGTTTAGACCAATAAATTTCTACAAGTGCATGATCACTAGCATAATCATAGGCACAATCATTATCATCATCGTCAAAGCCTTTTCCCAACTAATTGGGGTCAGCTAAGCACAATGATTATCAAGGACATAAAATCAATACAAGATACGAGGAGGACAAATCATGATAACATTTATTGTCAAATATAAGAGAAGTTCACTATAAGTATCAAGACTAGTTCCATGGCCATATTTCATGATAAAAAATGTCAACACCTGGATGGTAGCAAATCATAGCTCCCGTAGTAACGAAGGAGACACTTCATATTTAGTGGGTGGGGTACAAGGAGCTGACCATCTTCTGACTGCATCAAAGATATGTGGCATGAGAATACTTCAAGTAGCAATGTCGACTAGCAGATGGACCATAACAAAAAAATTTAGGCTCAATATGATACAAGGGAAGTAAAATTATATCAAGGGCAAGTAAAATTATATCAAGGGCACTTGTTATGATAAATATGTCCTCTTTTCTTATGTAATAAAGTCTCTAAAAATACCTCATTCATGTTGATAGAAAAGGAATATTGTAATACAATAACAAAAATTCGAGCACTCTATTATTTGTGAACAAAACACTTTAAACTTATAGATCTAGCTCTAGTTAGGGCTGAGAATGGGTCGGACGGGGTCCGGAACCACGGGGATTCAGATTCAAATCCTAAAAGTATACATGGGATTTCAATCCAGATCCGGACCCGATTGAATCCAGAATATTCGGATCCAGATCCGGATCCAAAAGTATACATGGGAGCTGGATCCGGATCCAGACCCAATCGGATCCAAAAATTAGTTTATATATTATTTATATCTATAAAATAATATATAACAAAAAAAATACTATATAACATGTGTATATAAATAATATATAGCATTTTAATAAATAGGTTAGATCCGGATTGGATCCACCTGTAACCGGATCCAATCCGAATTATTATTCAGATCCAAATTTTGGATTCGGATCCAACGTGGATCCATACCCAGATCCAGATAGAGGCCAAAATTCAGATTTCGGAACCAAACTGGGTAAATTCTCAGCCCTAGTTCTAGTCTAATAGGGAACTGATATAGCATAACTTGCCCCACATTAAAATGTCCATGTTCTCTCTTTCCAATCAAAGAGACAATGTTGACCACAGAGGGACATCAAACTTCTCAGCACACCTTTTTTTTTTTAATCGATTGCAGTAGACAAATAATACAAAGACCAGTTTGGCCAATCGACCGAAAGAAAGATTTGCCCTACTATGAGATGACTGCAATGGGAATGAAGAAAGATTCAAACATCAAAGATTAACTTAGAAATGAAAGATTCAAACATCAAAGGTTAACTTGGAAATGACCACATATTATCCATAGGTATTTCAATCTTAATCAGTCACAAGATTCGGTCACTGGAGAACTCCAAACCTTACAGAAACCACCTCAATGGCAGTCCAATCCAACATTTACAAAATGAACAACTAAACAAAATAATGACCCCTCATTTTTATTATCTTTATGACAAGCAACATATTACTAAGAGGGGAAAAAGATAAAAATATGGTGCATCCAAGGATGTAAACAAATGAATATGCATACACTAGATAAAAGATGGAAACAGAACGCATAAGCAAACAGAAGAAACAAAACCAAGAGGAAAGGGAAATGTGGAAGCAAATCTAAATGGAAGATGTCCTCCACAAGCAGACAAGAAGAGCCCACTTCGTCTTTTGGGTAGTTGGGTTGCTTCTCCATTCTGTTCTTTCAAAATACAGGCAAAAGAGATGCCACCCTATTGAAAAACATAGATGACATCCTCCATTAACAACTCTCCCCTGAGAAAATTGACTTCAGTCAGCGCTTCTGGATATCCACCTCAATAACAAGCTGACCTGAGAAAAACTGTTAGATCCCCAGACCCATATGAAGAGAATGCATTCCTCTCGTGTAAAGTCACCAAAGCTTATAGGATCCTGTTAACATTTTAAGAACATTACCCAAAGAATCCCTAAAACTGCTGCCTGTCACTTGGAAGCTTAAGCTGGGATTTTGTGGCATTGACTGGGTTTTTGCTAAACTTGCTCTGTTGGCGCTTGGGGCATTGGAATATGTGTTCTCTCCACAAACTTTGGGGTATATGGAAAGGACATAATAACAGAGAACGGTTAAAATGAGAGACTCAAGTGTTCTGTGCGAGGATTAGACACTTGACTATTGATGGTCTCTGGTATACCCCGATTTTAAGGCCTTTAGTGCAGCCACCCTCCAAAGAGAGAATACAAGCATTCAGTTCCCCAAGGATGTACTGATCAAGAAGCATAAATTCGAAGGTGGCTCATGAGCTAACTCTAATTATTCGATGGTGGCTCATGAGCTAACTCTAATTAACCAGGCATGGGAGCCACCCTTCAAGATAGTAGGAGAATGCTGCCTTTTCAGACTCCATGGATATCTATGATTCCACAAGTGGGTAAACCAGAGCCTATCAATTCCCATACGCCATAAAAACTGACATTTGGCACCCCTAACCTTGGTTTTGTCAAAAGCTTCTCAGTATGATTAAATGGATACTAGGTGGTGAACATGTTCAAGGTGCACTATCTTTGCAAGCTTACAACAGCATCAAAAGCTTACAATAGGATCAAATTCTCACCTGTTCTTTTTCAGGTTAATAAGGAACCAGGCTTCTTGGGCTACGAGGGTAGAGTATAGAAGGAGCCTTCAGGTAGAGGGAGTTGGATTTTGTTATTATGATGCATCTTTGAAGACTCCTTGGCATGGTTGTTCAAGATTGTTTCATTGTCAAACTCCTTTTATATTATCTATCATAAGACTGTTGAAAAAAAATGTTCGGGATGTATAAGGGATAGTGCCATCCAAACAATTATAGTTTGCAGTATCTAACAACATAATTTGCATTTTCATTGCTGAGGTGATGTTAGGGGTGGCAATGGACTGGGACCCGACCCAGAAACCCGACCGGGGTCGGGGTATGGGTCCAAAAATTGGACCTGGCGCGTCAGGTCCGGGTCCAAGACACTATTTTGAGTCCAGGTCTGGATCTGATTGGGTTCAGGTCCGAGTCCCACATTATATTTTTGGGTCCCAATTTATGAAATTTATTTAAATATATTGATATTTTGATTTTTGGGTCAGGTTCGGGTCATATAATACTTTACCTGGACTTGTTGCCACCCCTAGGTGGTGGTGTTTTAAGCCCATGGTAGTTTCCTGTGGAAGTAAATAGGTTATCATCCAGAAACGGTGATTGCTTTAATAGAGGCAAAATTCCCCACATCCTTATACTATTAATACCCTAATCAACAATAATCAATGCAGGAAGCCTTCCTATTTATTTTCTTAAGCACATGATAACACAATTACTGAAACAAGTGATTCATACTCCACTAGCAAAATCCCTTCTCTCATATAAACTACACAGTCCAACCTACACTTATCAATCCAATATACATAGAGCAGTCTCCAACAATGAAAGCCCCAAGCCAATGATAAAGAACAAAATCAAAAGTCCAAAGGCTTCTCAAACCATAGAATGATTGACCCACCTAATGAAGAATGTGAAACCAAAGATTCTAGGAGGGAGAAGAGTTTGGAATCCGTCCTTCAAGAGGAACCTCTCTGAAGCAGAATCCTCCTCTTTTACCGAACTCTTAGCAGCCTTGCAAGCCTGCTACATACCTATCAGCGGGAATGATGTTTTGGTGTGGACTCTTTCGCTCTCTGGGCGCTTCACGGTCACCTCTTTTTATAGGAGGCTCATTCAATCTCCCACTCTGCCCTTCAACCCACCCTCGATCCGGGGAATACATACTCCAAACAGATGTATTACGTGTCAAAAAGAGAAGGAATCAAATGCTCATCTGTTCATTCACTGTGAACAGGGGAAATACCTTTGGAGTAGACTTTTACTACTCTTTGGCCGAGAATGGGTTACTCCACCCACGGTACATTCCCTTGTATCCACAGATATCGCCAAGCCCTGACCCAAAGCTGGAAAAATCATATGGAAGGATGCCATTGCCACGCTTGTATGGGTTATTTGGATAGAAAGGAATAATAGGATATTCCAGGGACGTTATCAACAGCTGCCTGCACTCCTCCACAAGGCTAAGACTTTGTTAACTTTTTGGGCAACCAACCACAAAGTCTTTGCGGGTACACCCACAAACTTTTTTCTAAGCCAATGGGGTAATATCTTTTTTCATCAACCAAGGAAATCTCAAAAACCCAACAACTGTCAACCACCCCAAAGCGGAACTATCAAACTCAATTTCGATGGTTGCTCAAGGGACAACCCAAGGCCAGCTGGGGCTGGGGGAGTATTCCAATATCATGAAAGGAATATTTTGCTCACGTACGTTGAATCCCTTGGCTATACTGATTCACAACATGCTGACGCAATGGCACTGCTGATAGGGCTCAAGCTTTTTAACCACTCTTGGGGATCCCACTTGACAGTTGAAGGGGACACATACAACATTATATCTAGGGCATCCGGAAAGTCTATACCACCCTGGTATATAGTTTCGATCTTTGATGAGATTGAATTCATTTGCAGGGGTATCAACGTCTCATGGAGGCATACATTCAGGACGTCCAACGCATTCGCAGATCTCATGGCAAATGACGGAGCCGACCTCACATACAGTCTTGGACTCCCTCTAAGCTAGCTGATGAGCCTTTCTCTCCTCTTTGTTCACTACTCACATACATGTTGTAAATAGGGTGTCCCTCTTACCGTTTTTGCTGAGCCAACTCATTGTTGTCATAGTATTAGACTCTTTTTTGGCTTTTTTGTAAAGCGATTACCTTGCCCGTTAGGGTTCTGGTAAATCCCAATTTTTGTAAGGGACACTAGACCCAACACTTGTATTTACTTCTTTCTTCATTCAATGAAACAATTAACTTTATCAAAAAAAAAAAGGTGAAACCAAAGATTCATTAAAGATGTATTTTTACATAAAATAAGACCATTTACTTTTAGTACAAGGTTACAATCACCCTTTGCCTAGTACAAGGTTACAATCACCTTTTGCAGCTAGACGTGAATTCAAGTTGTTAGGGGTGTGCTGTTGACCACACCCAAAGTCCAAAAACAATTCTTTCGGACTTCGTTACACCACCATAGCCGCCTGATTTCACTCTAACTGCTGGGAGTGATTGTGACCTTCTTGTACAAAAAATAAAGCCTTAAAGATATACAAGCATATTTTACTTTGTTTCCTTGAAGTTTCAAAGGCCATAAAAAGAAAAGGAAAGCTGGAAGACTGTCGTCACATGAAAACTGGCCGCCTAGCTCAGTAGATATCTAATTCATAAAATTGTCTTAAATCGTTTTTTGAGCATGAACATTTAATGCACTTATCCAGTAAACCCTATAAAGTTTCTTTTTCCATTTCGTTTTGGTTCAACTAAACTTCCAAAAATTGATAGATATCTAGAAATTGCAAAATCGTTGCCTAGACAACATACGGAAAATAAATATAGATCTAAGGTTTTTACTGTCTTAACTTCTTTAAGAGAACAGTTATCTTGGAGAAGAAAAAGGGGAAATCACTTCAATGTAGTCCATATCACACTTACGAGAATCCAAGAATGAAAATTTGTACGTCAATTCATCAATAAACAACTTTGATATGTAATATCAACTTTAAATAATTTTCAGACACATGTAAGGCAACAGATCCTCCAACAAATTAATATTATAAATAGATGTATAACTTGGAACCTTTCATAAACAGAATCTCCACAGAATACTCTCTTTAGATTCGAAAGATTTCAAGTTGAGCTCAAAAACTGTGAGTGTGATAAAAAGTACCTGGTAGAAAGTGTATGAATCCTTCTCAGAGTTATTTTTGTGTCCATCAGAATGCCTATGGAAACCTTTGTCTTCATCGTATGAACCAATACCCTTTTCCTCGCTTTCAGATGCCAGGGGCACATCCCCAAACAGTATGGAACTTTTATCACCATTTGCTTCTGTCAGAGGCAAACTATCTGATTCACTTAGTTCATCCTTGTGACCAGTATGTAATATTTTACCAGCATGATCACCAGCTTTGAAATCATTGCCATCACTTAAAGTTGGAATTGTTGCATGAGATTGGGTCTTTTGTGGGGTATATCTGTAAGTCCCAGGATTAGAAGAAGAAGCCATCTGATTTTGTGGTGGACTGCTACTAAGAGGCCTATGTTCAGTCCAAAACTTCTCTCTCTGCTCTAGTTGTTCTAAAGCAGCACAAACGTATGGGAGTTTGTCCAAATCATCAACTCCCCCAGATTCTGCTTTCACTAGCCACTGATTAAGTTCCAGTTTTGCTTCTTGAAATGACAGCCCTATGTCTAATGTCAAAGTAAACTTTGAAAATAAGTCACAGAGTCCATCATTGGTGTATGGCACAGCATTCACACAATGGTGATTTTTCTGAAAAGGAATCATTGAATCTTTTGGTCTAGTCAAAAGTGTAAAATCTATGTGATCCCCAATATGGTACTGCTTGACATAGTCAACATAAACCGTGTATAAATCTTTAGACGATATCTTCATGAAACAAAGGGGACACTTTTTCCAGCAGTCACCTTTATGATCCTCCACGCCCATCAACAAATAACGCAAAATACATGGAAAACAAAATATATGACCACAAGTTGTAATTTGGGGGCAAAGAGGATCCTCCAAGCATATAGGGCACTGTACAGAAAATGGGGTAGAATACCTCACGCAAACCACATCTTCCCACTGTAACATTTTGTCTGGATCCTTGGATTTGAGTGCAGAATTTCCAGTGTCAACCACAACAAACTTGTAATTAGCCTGGAGAAATAGATCCTTATTGTATGGCTTTATTTTCTGTTGCCTTCTTGGAGGAGGCATCCGGGTTTGCGGACGAGAAATAGGATCATAATGAAAATTGAGCAAGTGATTAGCATTGACTGTCTGGTTTTTCCTTGATACTGAATGAATAGCATTTCCTTGATGAGTGCCAGCTCCTGAAGAGGATTTATCAATGTGTTGAGGGCCGGCTCCAGAAGATCTCCCATTGAGCTGCTCACATCTGAATGTGGAAGATGACTCTCTGTGAGAAAATGTGTTGCATGAAGAAGACATATCATGGCTGTGGCCATGAGGGCCATTCAAAGCATCAGGGCTTCTTCCATTCATTACCTAGGTTAACAAAAAGTTGTCAACCACACACATGTTAATCAGATAGCAAAATGAAAGAACCAAGGACTAAAAGGATATGTAACAATCTACAGCCTGAATTTGGAAGGGAAGATCACCAGAGACAACTGACAGACAAATATGTGGTACCAAAAAGCAATGAAAGGTGGATAAATGGTGGTTGAGTTTCTAAACAAGTACCATAGTTTAACTTCTGACTTTCTAATTTCAATTTTGAAGTCAAGTTTAACAACTATAAAATGATTAACTACATCGGTGTTAATGAAGTTTACTTTTAAAGTTTACCCCATCATATTGGACAGTGTTCCAAACAACCCAAGCGCGCCTAGGCAGCCGGTGGGGGTGGCTGCTCAGCGCCTAGGCGAGAAAAATAAGAATAAGTGGATAAGTGAACGAGGAGAATTCAGATAGTCCATAATCCATATTTCCATACAATGCTAGAACCATACAAGCATACAAGAGTTAGATAGTAGAAACTAGAAACAATGAAGTAAAAAAAAAAAATAATACAGTCTAAGACTCAACAGTTAACACCAAGAGTTAAGCATCTTCATTCTTCAGTCATCATCATCATCAGAAGGAATAGAGTAAGCCTCATCATATGCATCAGATTCGAGGCCATCATCATCAAAGTCATCTCCCTCGTCAACATAACTTCCTCCTCTGTTTCTTCTGAATCAGCCTCTTTCTCCTTTTTTTCTACCCCCTCTTACTCTATGCAGATGAGACCCTAGGAGTCTTGGTTGCTCCACCTGGTGCCTCTTCACCCTTTTTTTTCTTTTTGTGCTTCCCTGAACTAAAGTATTGTATAATCTCCTCCCTGGTAGCCTCATAAACATTTTTACACAAGGCAACGTCCCCTTTAATGCCGACAAGGTGTTTCTTGAACCGGTAAATACCGCCATCGATATCCTTTCTACAATAATTACACCTCATACGATGCTTGTCATTTGGATTCAGGTTATGACCATACTGCAATCAGGATCACCACTTCTAAAAGAACCTGGAGAAGATATTTCCATAGAACAAGGCTCATCTTCTTCCTTTTCTGGTTCTACTAAATTCAAATATAGTCTAATCTCATCCGCAAGAGCTTCAAGAACCTTTTTATAAGAAGTAACACTCCTTTTAATACCGGTAAGGTGTTTCTTGAATCGGTTAATACTCCCATTGGTATTTTTTTTCACAAAAAATACATCTTAAACAATTTTTATCGTTTGCTTTCAGCTTATAACCATACTTCCAACCCGGATTAGGGTTGCCAATGGACCCAGATCCAACCCGAGACCTGCCGGGTATACCTAACATGGGTCCGGGTATAGGTCCAAACCTTGGAACCGCGGGTAGGGTCCGGGTCCTTCATAATGGACCCAAAGATTCTCGGGTACGGGTACGTGTCTGGGTCCCGACTCGAGATCTGAAGTTTCCCACCCTTTATGCTTTATCGCTCTACCTACCCTTCATTTTAGTGCAAACCCCCTCACATTACCTCTTTAAATCTTTGGATGTGGGACTAAAAAAATTTCCCTTACATCTCTAGTATTAGTGTGTGATTCAGTTTTGGGGGACTGGAGAGAGAGAGTAGAGACGTGCAATGTTTTAAAAAACAATCCGCTCGGCGCCTAGGCGGTCTGGACTAAAATACCGCACGCCAAGACCCAAGCAGCCCTACACAAGCGGATGTACCTGGGCAGGCGCCCAGGCGGGCTAGGTGGGTGCCTAGGCAGGCGTCCAAGGACGAGCTTTTTCCTTCTTTTTTTTAATATCCAAAAGGAAAATGGGATAATTTTGACCCTCAAAAAGGTTTAAATAGATTATAACCATATTTTTATCGTTTGCTTTCAACTTATAACCATACTTCAAACCCAAATTAGGGTTGGCAATGGACTCGGATCCGACCTGGGACCTATTGGGTATACCTAACATGGGTTCGGGTATGGGTCCAAACCTTGGAACCGCGGGTAGGGTCCGGGTCCTTCATAATGGACCCAAAGATTCTCGGGTACGGGTACGGGTACAGGTCCGGGTACAAATGAACCGACCCGAGACCTAAAGTTTCCCACCCTTTATGCTTTATCGCTCTACGTACCCTTCATTTAGTGCAAACCCCTCACATTACCTCTTTAAATCTTTGGATGTGGGACTAAAAAAAATTCCCTTACCTCTCTAGTAGTGGTGTGTGTATTCAGTTTTGGGGGACTGGAGAGAGAGAGTAGAGACGTGCAATGTTCTAAAAAACGATCCGCTCGGCGCCTAAGCGCCGGCTAGGCGGTCTGGACCAAATACCGCACGGCCAGACCCAGGCAGGCCCTACACAAGCAGATGTACCTAGGCGGGCGCCCATGGATGTGAGCTTTTTTCCTTTTTTTTAATACCCAAAAGGAAAAATGGGATAATTTTGACCCTCAAAAAGGTTTAAATAGGTTATGGGGGTTATTTTCAACCCCCAAAGTTAAAAGAAAAATCCCATAAACCCTCAATCTCTTAGCTATACCTGTTTCTGAGAATCAAATGTATTTTTTGTGGTTTGAAAAAGCTTCCTAAACCTTTTCACTTATTATAAAATATGGAGAGTTGGAGCCTATTACTAATACATATCCTATTAGACTTTTAAATTTTGTATGGTTCAAATTTTGAAATTTTGAACAAGTTTATTCTCAACATGCGATATGTCATATGTTTGTATATAAAAAAATATGTTACAATATTTTCAAATGTAATAAATTCTAAAATTGACACATATACACAAATATGTTACAATATTTTCAGATGTAATAAATTCTAAACTTGACACAAATATATGTATATATACTACATATCTATATAACTTGTACAACAGGCGCCCAAAGTTCTGGGAGCCAGGCCGCCTAACATTTTTTGAAACGTTGGAGACATGTGTTCTCACTTTTCAGCTTTGAGAAGAGGGAAGTGCAACTGAAGCTAGAGGTAGTCCTAAGGCAGATAGCTCGAAACCGCATAAATGCTATTTATTTATTTAACCCCCAAACCGAGGCAGTCCTAGTTTTGGGCCAAACACCGCAAAAAACCTCTTTCTTACAAGCCTAAACCCTTCATGCCCACACAGGACTAACCCTCCATCTCTCAAACATCAGTTAAAAACTTTAAATAAGTGGAAAGCTCTATAGAGTCACGGGCGACTAATCCCACATCGAAGAAAAGCATAGAGTCATGGGGGTATAAGCTCTATAAAAGGGGCAGGGGAGGTTATGATCATACACCTAAGAAAGGTTGGAAATCCCCCAAGTATTGGTCCAGGTCCAGGTCCTGAGTCCTGAGTATCCTCATTGGTGCGGGTACGGGAACTATCTTTTTGGACCCGTCTGGTACGGGTCCACAAGTGATATTTTAGGTCCGGGTCCGGGTCCAGTAGGACCCAACCCGTTGCCATCCCTAATCTGGATCACATTTGCTAGCAAAACCAGAAATAGACTTATCCAAACAACAAGGATTTTGTTCCTGTTTGTGTTTTATTGAATTCATATATTGGTCCTCTCTGATAGCTTCAAGAACATTTTTACAAGGGGTAACATTCCACCTAATACTGGTAAGATGTTTCTTAAACCGGTTTATACCCCCTTTTGAAAGGACCTTTTTGTTTCTTTTTCATAATAATTGCATCTTATGCAACTTTTATCCAAAGGACTCGAGTTATAGCCATATTTCCAACCCGGATCGCCACTTTGACTAGATCCTGAAGAACACATCTCAAAATAATACAAGCAATCTAAAAACTAAAATTTCGCACTTACTTTAATTGCTCGATCTCCAAACTTCCACCTCTGAGAAGTTTTTTAGTGTTAAAATCTTCAAAACACCCTCTAATACAGCCAAAAAAACTCCAAAACTAAATCCAATTTCAATGGGTGATGTTTGGATCCATTTTTTGTAACTTTGAGAAACCCTTTGATCCTATGAAAATCACCTAATCTAGTTTTTAAGATTCTCTCTCTCTAAAATGGGTTCTAATGGGGTTTAAGTTTCAAATGAACCTAAAACTCACCTTTAAAACACTTTTTTTTTATTTTTATAATACCCAAAAAAGCCCCTCAACAAGGGACATTTCCGCCCCTAGGCGGTGCGTAGGCCTTGAGCAGCCACCCAAGGATGGGCACTTGCCTAGGCAGTAGGCGAGAGCCTATCACTTAGGCGGCCGCCCAAGGGCAGAATGCCTAATTTGGCCATTTAGGCCTAGACGAGGCGCCCAGGCCCTCTGGAACGCCTAGGCAGCCACCTAGGCACTGGGAAGTTCGCCTTTTAAAACAATGATATTGGCAATTTCTTCTGTTTCTTATGGGGAACCATCTATTGTAGTACTTAAAGAGACTCAACCTCACTTTGTCATGGACTCGATGACATACTTTGAGACAAGAAAAGCATCATAACTTATAAAAATGTTCGGTAAGATATCTTGAAAGAATCATTAATTTTTTATGATCAAAGCACAGCACAGTAAAAATGAATCACACTAATAAAATGATGAGCTAAAGTAAAAGATCTGTTAAATGATGAAAAAAGCAAACTTACTCTCCCGGGTGATGCAAAAGAATCTGACTGAGTTCCAACCAATGAGCCTGCAAAAGATAAATGAATGAGTTGTAAATGCCAAATTAATTCAAAATAAAATTGGATAATTCCTTGAAGTTAGCACCACATATACAAGATGTGATGCATAATAAACTCAAACAGTTTTAACTTGCCAAGCAGATAAGAACAGAAATATAATTTTTTGACATCTGATAGTAACAAGGAAAACAGTAATTTAGGAGTTTGGATCACAAAAAGCATGATAAAAATTAAGAATATATTGTTGATGCAAAACAGGAAAAAACTAGCGACAAGGAATTTGACAGCCAAATAAATATTTCATGAACCTAAGTCCCAACTGAAAAAAATACAATTTTCTGTGATTTAGTTATAACAAAGAACACAGTAACTTTGAATCGCAAGACACAAAAAAATATGAATTCGTTAATGAAAACAAGCAGAAACTAGCGTTACAAATGAGTCGAGTCAACTCGAAATAGGCCAAATTACTTAGACTCTGCAGGATGCCGAGTCCGTAAGGAATGGCCAAGTTCAGCAGGTTCCTATGTTTTCATGGTACTTGTTCTACAGACTCGCCCGAGTTTTTATGGACGAACAAGGCTCGGGACACTTCCAAGTCCCGATTCTGGGCCGTCTTTCAGAACATTGGTAGAAACTGGCCACAAATTGACATCCAAATAACTATGATGAATCTTTAAAGTTTAAACAATGCAAGTGATATGCAAGATGCTAATTCAGAGCAAACTAAAGATATGCGTGTTACAAAGCAAGTACAATTCCAGGTTGCAAAACCAAAAAGGGGTAAAAAGAAAAAAAAAAGGAAGAAAGAAAGAAACCCTGCAGTTTGGGTAAGAAGGCTGCTTAAGAAATAAAATAGAAAAGGATTGATGCCCAATGAAAAATCGAAGACCCTCCACCAAACAGAAGTATTCTCACAAAGTAACCCAACCCAAAACGCATAAATCAATATCTAAGCTGTGTTATAAGCCATAGTGTTGCTAATGAGTTTCTCAAAAAGAAATTATAAAATGTTAAGTCTATACAATACATGTACTCAAATGCATATCCAGTCAGCAAAAAGCCACGAGTCTTAAAGTTTTGAGGACGATATTCTTTTCTGATAATTTTTATTGTTGAATACTCATCCAAACAGATAAATAAATAAACAGTTAAGTACAATGGTAAACATAGATAAAGCATGTAATGACAGGAGAAAACCGCCAATGTCCCTGTGCTAGTCTGCTGAGGTGTGCATCCTCAACTCACCAAGCCATGGAATTGGCCTGACTCATGACTATGGCAAGTCAAGCCATTGAACCATGAGGGTATGATGCGGTAACTTTGAAATTATTGACATTTGAAATTTTGAATACATAGAAACAAATAAAAGAATGCCAAAAAATAAAGAACTTGTTATATGAATTTACAGTTGCAAAGTGGAAATCGGAAGAACATTAAAAATTAAATTCGTGCAAACATTGGGCTTACCAATGCACTATGACCTTGCGTATGCAAACAAGCCTTTCACCTGGCATTTCAGGCTATATATAAAATTAGATAAGAGAGCCATTAGAGATGATGCTCAAATGTAAGTTTAGCATTCGCTCGGATGCCATAAATGTCCATTACTATCCAATTAACCTTCCAAGACATGGGCTTTCACAAAGCTTAAGCTTACTTCCATAAATGTCCATTACTATCCAATTAACCTTCCAAGACATGGGCTTTCACAAAGCTTAAGCTTACTGTCAGGCGGTTAGCTCCAATAAATGATCACCCCAGGTCGCACGCTTCGCCATATAGCGTTCCCCCTTCAACTGTGTGATACCTCCTCATATCTAAAACCACAGAACTCATTGACAGCTACAGTGAAAGAAATGATCACAACGCTAACACCATATTCAAAAAAAAAAAAAATGATCACAACCCTAACACAGACCACTAGAGCTTGCTACCTCCACTAAGCACCACAAGAAATATGTGTGGCACTTGCCCATAGCCCCTTGAAAAATGGCAAATGGACACATCTTTTGAAACAACAAGACATGGGGAATACTCACAAGAGTTGCAAAGTCTCCCAGCCTGGCTCTTTCCTCCACTGTCTAGACCTCCTTAACAATTCCTCCCGAACTTCTATCATCTGTCAACTCTTACACATATTACTTGTCATCTCCAAGAGGAAGATTCAACAGCAGAATAAGCCTATGAAATGACACAACCACAACAGACTTATCAATCCTGAGAACCGACAATAGCATTCGAGGGCAAGATCATCATAATGTTTCCTAAAGGTGCTCTGCAACTCGTTTGAGAAAGAATGGGAAATGTAACAGTATACCTCTTCCATCAATTCTCCCATTTGCATAAAACCTACTTCTCCTCACTCAATGCTACATCCCACGAGTTGCTTTTTGATTCTGATACCCAAAATGTTGAATCTCTGCCATGCTAATCTCCATTACAGGTGAAACATGGTCGTCACAAAGAACACGTGATACACTCCAAGAAAAAGGTCCACTTCTGTAAATGCCTTAAATACATTCTTATTTAAATAAATAAAAAAAGCAGGAGTGCAACTGAACATAAACTTTCAGAAAATTTCTATCCAAAAATTCTACGTTTCATAAACTGAACCCAAAATTCATACACGAAACCCAAATTTCACGATATCTACTGGTCCATCTTTTTTCATTTAACTCAAATACTTCCAAGGAAAGCTTATTTCAACTACCTAACAGGTCGTAGTTACCATAGTTAGGAGACAAAACAATAACACATAGAATGAGGGAACATGATTACTCTTTCCAGCAGTATATTAGCAAATAAAAAGTAAAATTTGTCCAAAGGAAAAAAGAAGCTAAGAGTTATCACTCACAAACCATGGAAAACCCAGAATCACAATATACGTAGCAGTGTTTACCTTCAATAAAGCAAGGAGCTTTATCAAAACCAATGTTACTCAGCAATAAAGCACCAAAAACTTCAGAAACAGATTTAAACTACTACTACAGTAAGATATCTCCAATTCTCAAGAAAGATAATCACAAAAGACACCACCTTTCCCTAATCCAGCAAGACACCCACATGATGATCAACACAATTCAAAAGAAAGAAAACCCTAATTCCACAAAAGAAACTAAGAACGAAAAACTCACTGGAACTTCCGTTGTCAATGCGCTCCTGGTTTGAGATCTGAGCAGATCCAGAGCTCTCAGCTTGCCCATAAAAGGCAGAGGGTTCAACACCAGGGTTTTCAGATATTCCATGATCGAAATTAGGGTTTTCGGAAGAAGCTTTGTTGAACGGCGGGGACGATACCTTGGCGTTTGTGGGCAAGATGGACATGAAAATCTCTGCAAATTAGGGGAGATTTCTAAGCCGAAGGCGCATGAAGAAAAGAGAGAGAAAAAGAGGGAAAATAAAAAGCGGCTTATTTTACAGGGTGAATTTCCTCGGGAATATGCCTGGAGCCTCCGAACTTACACATTGGCACGTGTAAGTGGCTTTCTTCGATCTCGACACGTGTGAAGAAGGTAAGCCCCTTCCCACCGATTTTGGCCGCACATATACGCTCTCTCAGGAGCATAGTTACTTCTACTCCCTAAATTAATAATGTCTACGAAATTTAGGAACCGCTTAAGGATTATTATATTATTTTTAAAATATATATATATATTTATTAACTTTTTTACCACTTAAATCTTACCACCAAAAAATTAGATGGTCTCCATTCATTATCTCTCTCAAGTATATAGAAATTACAATTATGATTTATTAAGGTTAATTTATGGGTTGAAAAGATCACATCCCTAAAATTTGAGATCTTAAAATTAAGTCTGAGTGGGTTTTTGCCCATGGGAGTAAATGGACATCATACTCCTGCAATGAGGGTAATCTTTTGGCTTTTCCTATATAAAAAATACCAAAAAGATTTCCTTCTCATTTGGAGTATATTATCTATATAGAGCATTTGCACAAAACTTATGCTAAGAAAATGTTTTGAGATCCCAAAATTTGGGATGTGATCTCCAGATCCCGAAAGCCAACCTCAAAGAAAAAAAAAATTTTAACTCTCACTCACTGTGGCCATAAAAATTGGCAGCCTAATATTGAACTAGAACCATCCAATTTTTTGAAAGAACGATCAATATGTATAAGAACTCAAATTTACAAAAACAAAATTCTATGAAAACAACTATTTTAGTTATAATCAGAAGGATCCTGAAATTTCGGATCACAAAAATTTCTTTTCCCGAGGGAGTAAATGCATAATTTGCTCCCACGGGAGCATAGTATAAGTGTATAAGTGCTCTTAGAAATAAAACGGTGCTTAATATTTGAACCAATGAGACGAAATTACCTATTTGGCTTACGAGGATCCTAGTCACAATTGTTTTCGGGATATTACTAGCAAGAATGTTTATCAGAATAATACCAAATAAGCCTTTATTCAATTATTTTTCTGAATTTTTTTATTGAATACTAATAAATATTAACATGAAGAAAATCTTTTCCATGAAACTTATATATTCTTGGATTTATCCCATGTTTACCATAAAATAGAAAAGGGAAAAGTTTATATAGAGCCTAGGCTCTAAACAATCAAATTAGAGCCTACCTCAAAACATTCATCAGAAGAGGTT